TCGCCTCGCTCCTCGCTGCCTCATTTGTGACGTCGACAAATCAGAGAATCTCCCCGAATCGGCGTTGTCACCGGCAGCGGAGTGCGCAACTTAGCAAACAGGATTGTGATTAATGGGAGTTAAGAGTGGCATCTTTACAAGCCACACGAAAAGAAGCCACAGGCGAGAGAAATGGGACCTGGGTTGAATAACACCGCCAGAGCTCAACACTGAATCAACGAGCATGACAGACAGCCTTAGCAGCACCGGCGTGAGGTGCTGGGCCGCAGCAGGAGGCGAGCAGGTGGCGCAGACGAAACCATCCATGAAACCAGGTGTTTAGGGGCCTTCTGCAAACGGCCAATGCATCACAGTGATGAATGGAGGAGGGGTCGACAGCAGGGATATGAGGTGTTGGATTCAGTGATGCCTAGAGGGGCGGGGGGACGGATGGCGATAAGAGTTTTAGGGTTCACCTCGTTCTGCTGATCCCCTCATCGCTAACCGTGCATTTTGTCCATCTTAATAGCATGCCACACACACCTCCAGCCAGGGAAAATATGTTCAGCATGGAGTTGAGGTGTCACACCTGTAATCCTGGATACTCGGGAGATAACCATAACCAGCTTGAACAACATACAGTTGAAGCCAGAAGTCCACATACACTGAACAAAATGAAACGCACTCCTTTTCTTTCCTCAGCGTCTGAAGTAAAATCAGGCCCCGTTCATCTCGTTTTACGTCAGATAGAATTACCAAAATGAATAATGATAGAAAGAATATGTCAGAGACTTATTTATAAATAACTGAAGTGTCATAAGCTTCCATATGTTTTCTGATTATATGGTTTCATTGCTGTTGCAAAACAATTTGGTCAAATGTTTTGGGTTTCCTACAAGCTTCTCATAGCACATTTTTCACTTTGAGGTTGCCACGTCAAAACAATGGCTCTATTGTCCTCAAGCCACTTTGTAACCACTGTCTGTATGCTGTGATAACAACTTATCGTTTTCTTGCCGCAATTCCTTAAAAGTCAGATTTGGGGAGCGCAAAACTCCACAAGTTTTGTCCATCCTGTTGCAAACTTTCCACCTGAGCTCTACCAGAGTTACCATGGGGTCACACTGCTGCCCGTCTGATTAGTGCGGCCCTGGTCTCAGTAGTTAGTTCACATAAAGAGTCTCGGTAGGCTTGCAGTTGCAGTTGATGAACTTGAGCAGTGAACCATGAAATGTTTAAATCGTGGAATATAGTTATATAAACTAACCCTGCTTTATACTCTCACACATCCTGATCCTTGACCCATCTTTGTCCTCATGGTGGTCTTTGTTTTTATATATATATATATATATATATATATATATATATATATATATATATATATATATATATATATATATTATACAGTATTTTGATAAAATTTAGTATATTGGACTTCTCAGGAAAATCAACAAAGGAGACTAATGGCAAATGGACGAAAAAATTTTTCTGATTTTAATTTGCTAAAAATGTGTAAATGTTAAACAAACTGAAAAAAAACAAATTCAAATGATTAAAAAAAACATACTAATGCAGTTACTGAATCTTTGTAAGACAAACAGCCCGTTATTCCTGCAAACGTTTGAACCGTAATCTTGACCGGGCTGGAGAGGCGTCTGTTCTCAACCTTCGTGCTAGAGAGCGTGTTTCTGAATGTCTTTCGGTCTCATGTCATGGCATTAGCTTGGCCTCGGAGTTATGCTGAACAAACCAACAGGCCTGTCATTACACTGATAGATATTATTGAAGAGGGTCACGCAACGCTTAACTCTGGCACTCAGCGTAAGCGCTGCCGTCTGATTGACAACCTGAAACAAAGAAACTCAGCGACAACTGGGTCTTACGTGATACCGGGGAGAATCACTCAAATTTAATTTTGTAATGTCGGTAGACAAGACAAAGAAAAAGTTTTTGGTTTTTTTTCTGTTTTTTTCTTGCACTAAACTGGCCCCCAAAGTGGTCAATTGGTTGGTGCAAAATTAATTGCATCTTGTTTTGTAAACAGATTTTCTGTAATATTGTTAAATATATTCACACTTGGGATTCATCAAAGTTGTACATAAGTATTTGGGTTTTATTTAACACACATATTCATACCACACATATTCTTCTTATATAATTTGTGAAAGGTGTATCTTTTTGCCTACATTTCAATCTAAATCCATTATTTTCCTTTGCATAAAAGTTACAAAAACGAATGTAACTTTGATGCTTGCTGTTGGACTGCAGTCGCCAGACATCTGTAGTCTATAATTCTTTTTTTTTTTTTCATTATATGTAGAAAACATTGTGCCACTAGCATTCAGACAACAAATACGCTTTACACTGACCAACCTTCCTAGAAGACTGACCTTGGTTTGTGTTGTTTTTGTCTTTCTTCAAAGCAGATGGCAGATGTCACTGCATGACAGACCGTAAATCAGAGATTCCAGCTGAAATGATGTCAGCCCTTTACATCATGTGTTGTCACCTCACGCTATGAAGACATGTGGACATGTGGTCGCTCTCATAGCTACATTCACTCCTCAGACTCACGAGAGATTTTTCCAGGGGTTAACTAGTCGCATAAACAGATGAACAGCGTACGTCTTGCAGCATGAAACAAATCAGTAAGTTACGAATCAGTTCTCTAAGCTGATTGAGCCTCTCTAGTGATAAGGAGGTGATAAAGCAGAGCAATATTAATTTAATTATAGAATGTGGCTGTATTAATTATTTTCCATTCTATTTAAAAACAAGCATAGGATTTTTTTTTAGTGTGCCTTGTGTTATGTCACAATCACAAACAGCAAGAAGTGTAAAATTTGTGTGATATTTTATTATATACGATTCACATTGTTTCGTTTTCTTCCACTTATTTAATACTACAAAAAAATAGTATTTAGCATTTAATTGTTGCTGGATTTCAGAGTAATCGTAGCTGCTTCAACTATTCAGTTATTTAAAAGGGGGAAATTGAGCAGTTTTTCTTTTTTACCTTATGTTACAGTTCTCTACATTTAATATGGTAAAACTACAAGCGCATGAACTGAAACTCCAAGTGTAAATTGTAAATGGACTGCACATAATGAGGGAAGCTGGAAGGAAACTTACAATATTCCAGTTGCCATTGCCACCCCCATTTCATATCAATTCAATTATAAAACACAAAGGAAATGAGGATGGAAATTGTCATTTTTACCATTAGGTGTTTTTGCTAGGACATTAAAGCTCACCTTTATCCGCTAAATTCCCATCTGACTATTTTCATGCTACCCATTACTCACTATGAACTTCTGCAAAGCCGAAAGACTGACAGACTGCGGGTAGAAAAGCCAAAAACTATTACAGCCTGTATCCGAAAGCTTTAATGACGTATGGAGATTTGTATTGTCCGTGCTATTCAAAATTTACAACAGCAATTATTCACGGATAGCAAGACAGTCACAGTTTGGTAAACGTTTTACTGCTCCCTACATTCTTGCTGTTGCCAGTTTCTGAGTCAGTAATTCAGCAGATTCCTCTGGAAGCGATTCTGAGAAACCGTGCACATGAACTCCTGACATTTACAGGAGCAGGAATGATTTCTCCGATTGTCTTAAAACGTGCCTGTCCAGGCATTACCAGACACTTGGACTACGTGGTGGACATTGTTCATTTATTTGTGGCATTAAAGGATTTTGGTTAATAATATCAGCTCTTTAACGGAGCCATCACTCTGGTCTTTATGCGGTGGCGACTTCGTCACCCAGAATGCAGCTAGGAATGGAGCTGTACATGTGTTGCTTTATTTAAACAGTAACACCTCGCTGTAAACCTGTCAGCGCTATTAATCTGGGGCAGAGACGATGCGAAACGATCCACCTTTGAATTTCACGGCTCCCCGTTGTCTTGTGTCGCTCATGTGTGGCGACTGACCTCAGCTGATCATGTAACTACAAAAACATTTATACGCCTTAAACTTTTGCACATCGTCACCTTACAATCACAAACTTTAAATCTATTTTTTTGGGCGGGGGGGAATTTGTGTGATAGACCAAAAGAAAGTAGCCCTTGATTGAGAAGTGGAAGGAAAGAGAAATTTTTTTGCTAAAGAAACCCAAAAAGGTTGGCGTGCATTTGTATTCGGTCCCAACTCCCAAAGCTGGTTAATCCATCAAATTGCGTAGTAAAAAGATAACCAGTGAATGCACCATTTCCATGGTTAAACACGATGGAGGAGGCATCATGATGCTTCTCTTCAGCAGGGAAGAGATGACGGGAAGATAGCTCATCAGATATAAGCCTTGAGCAAAACCTTTTAGAGGATTTGGGGATGGAGTGGAAGTTCACTTTCAAGGAGGACAATGATCCTAAACCTACAGAGGAGACATGTCGACCAGGTTGCATCGTGAGCCTGAGCAAATTGAGGAAAAGTGGATGAATACTTTTCATCAGCAAGATCCGGTTGCGATCTGACGGCATTTAAGCTTTTTCTGTAAAGTGACAAAGTGTGAAAAAGTTTAAGTCTATAGATATTTTACATGTCGCCTAATGTATTTTTTTCCATTAGTTGAGGTATGTCAGATTTTGTGGTACAAAGCATTTATTTTATGAACAAATTGCTCTGAGCATTCTCTGCGCTCACGCCGTGCTTCGTGCTCAGTGGCCTAATGTACCCTGAACAGCTGTGCACTTAGCGGCTTGAGATGAATGACAAGTTGATTCGTGAACTATTACATGAGAAAGATGAGCATAAGGTGAAGGGTGTAGCGCGAGCATCAACGTCTCGTGTGCATTTTTGACCAAGACCAACGGAAAATGGTGTAACATCATGTTAAACATACTGAGGACAAATAATTGATGGACTTATTTATTTAAAGAGAGCTAACCAACAACACAATAATTTTTGTTTTTAGCTTACCTGATAATGCAAAACTAAAACCAAACATTTGAGAAAATAATATTGATGCATTTAAGCAGCTGTACAGAAAAATTGAAGCATAATCAATGCATCGCAATGATGAAGTCAGAACTCAGTTATTTATGTCTTTTTTTTTTTTTTTTTAAAGTATGTATACCAAATGTCACATCTGGTAAAGGTACAACAATGTGTTGCGTCACAAGGTCCTTCATTCATTGATGACGACGTCAAACAAACATTTCCAACAGAGAGAATGAAAAAAAAAAAAAAAAAAGGAATTCTGTTGTGTTTAAGCTAAAATTCAGACACGCTGAGAAACGTATATCGCAGCTTTGCAGCCCAGCTGGATGGCGTTTTTTAGCAGCCAGTATCCAGGTAACTGAAAAAAAAAAAAAAAAAAAACACAAAAAACATTTTATTTTTTTAAAACTCCACAACTTGTACTTATATTAAACATATTTAAAATCACCCATATGGATTGAAGACTCAACTATCTAAGACATTATTTGTTGAGAAAACTTTCATGTGGATAATAAAAGATGCACTCACTGATTCGGCGTCATGCTCCAAGCCTGTGTCATGATGGTCCATTTCATCGTCTCTAAATTCCTTTATCACCTATTGAAGGGAACCACAAATTAACACTTTTTACATCACTTCTTGGTAAGGACTACTAACAATGAATTTTATCATTTGTTCATAAAAAAAAAAAGTGTCCCACACATGTTTTATCGATGATGTTAAACCAGTCATGGAGAATAATGTCATTTGATCAGGCAGGATCAAATTAACAGTTATCTTTAACAGGAATGACTTCAGGTCAAATAATCAAGTCAACTATAGATATCGCATTACATACGGCACAGAAAATGGCGCTTCTGAACAACTTCAAACATTTGCAGACTTTATTCCTAGTCACGATTTAGATAAAACAAGTAAGGATAAAATATTGTCAGTAAGTGTCATCGTTGAGTTTGGCTTCAGTCAGTTTGCTGGGGGACTTGGTCGAATACCTTTTTGCTTAAAGTTAAACACAAAGTACAAACGTCTGAAGTGTGGCCCTCACTTGTAGCAGTTCAGTGTATCTCTCTGGGTCACTCTCCATCAGCGCTCTAATCTGGCTGTTGTAGTGCTCAGAGATGCTCTCCTCCACTGCCACTGTGCACGCCATGGCCCCCTCTTTACCCAGCAGAGCAGTGGACGCCCCTGGAGGATGTGCAAAACAAGAGAGATTAGTACAAGTAAAACAGTAATCGTGTCTTTTTTACCGGCTGTGTCAAGAGAGTTTTGTGTTTTTACTTATCTATTGTCTTTTTTTTTTTTTTTACATTACAGCTATACAGACACTGTATATTTATATGCTGCCCCAACCTAAAGCAAACCCAGCCAGGTTCCAGAGTGGCAGGAGAGCCGTGGGTCGAACTCTGTTCTCAGCAAGGATTTCGTTGAATTTTGATAGGTGTTTCTTTTCTTGATCCCACATTTGCTTGAAAAACAAACAAACAAAAAGGTTCAAATACTACTCGTACCATTCAGCTTGATCTGACAAAATTATTTAACTGAAAATAAGTATAAATTTTGATTCCTTTTTTAAAAAATCTATTAAATTATTTAAGTACATATCTAATAAAAAAATGGATCTAACAAATGAAAAATTATAAACCCCGAGTCTCTCTTTTTTTTTGTCTTACTGTGAACATTTTCTCACTGTTATTAATGGTTTAACTGCAATATTCTCAAATATCAAACAACATATTGGCTGAGAAATAAAAACAGTTGCTAGGTTAATAAATTGATGATGCCGTCATTCTTTGAGCATTAACCTTTTTTTATTATTTATTTGGGGGCATAACCTTTCATAAGTTTCAATATAAATTGAGAAACATACATGGCCACATAATGGAACTTTTTAAAACGCTCCAACCATCAATTTCTGACCAGAATATACGACCTCTGCACTATTTAAAATATATTTTAATGTTCTTTAACATGAGACCTTTTGTAGTGACAGCCAACTCTTTTGAACGTTCCGCTCACGAACCTATTTTTAGACATGATGGGGTTTCGACACCCGCAGGTTTTCTATGGCATGTTTACCTGGATGAGTGGTCCAGTTCTGGACCGGCCCAACACTGCCATCTGCCCGGCGTAGATGCGATTAGCACCGTATTCACCCGCGTGATCCACGCGCAGCATCCGGTGCATCATCTCCTTCTCCTTGCTGTCGCGCGGCGCAGGAACAACACTGTAGGCACGAGCGCTGTTCTGGAGGCAGCCTGCGTAAACATTATAATGTAAGCATGAGTAACTTGAGTAAATCCTTCAAACATGGTTTCCATCTCTAACTGCAGGGGGGAAAGAGTGGCAGATTTAATACTGAATAAAAATATTTCAGTAATATCAAACAGATACATTTTGTTTTAAGCACGTTCACAATGTAACTTCAAAGAAAATGTCATGATGCCAAGCTGACAGTTACATCATGGCTATCTTAGGTAAGTGTTTTTAGCATTTTAGCTTCACGCTGATAAACCAGCAGCTCACCTGTGCATTTTAAACTCTGTCGGATCATCGCTGGTCTGACAAACTGAGGCCAGTCACAGAAAGCCGTGTGTGCTGCTCTGTGCATTATAGTTAGCGAAGGATTTAACCGCTACTGTAGAAAAACACACGCAAGAGGACATTGAGCGTCAGCTGGCTGATAAACCAAACGCACACTTATGACGTAGGCGCGCTTTACGACGACGCCCGATTATGGCAGGCCGTTGTACCATTTAATTAACGAAACGTTGGGCAACAACTTCTACGAGATTAAATTACCTTTTAAACCGGAGTCAACCAAGCTGTTTTTTCAAGTAAAGTCCAAAAGAGGACTCAAATTATATATGACTAGATGCAATACAGATTAAGGCCTATTTGCCTCATGGTGTGTGATGAAACATGTTTTTCTTTTTTATTTATAATTGACAATGAAAGTCCACTACCAACATCATCTGGAAAGGTGAAGGAAGTGAAGAAGGAAGGACTACTGTGAGGAGTGACGGCTCATAGATGACCCGGTAACCTTTCAGCGGGACAATGGTCCCAAGTATACAGCCAAGATATCAAAATAGTGTCTCCAGGAGTTCCTTAAATGACTGTGAGTGGTCAACCAGAGTCCAAACCTCTGACTGATCAGACTGAATCTGATTAAACATCTCTGATTAAACATGACTCTGCACTGATGTTTCCAATTCAACTTGATGGAGTTCTGGTGACTTGAAAGAGACAGGCACCCCAAACTTGTTGCATCATTTTTAAGACGTGCGGCTTTAATTACTGTCTATAGTATTGAGTGAAGGCTGTGAATACTTATGTATTCCTCCAAAACAAAATTACATTATGGAGTGTTTTGTGTATTGAGAGAAAAAAAAAAGAATTTTTTTTGAAACAAGGTCGTAAATGCAAAATGTGGAAAAAACCGAAGCGCTGTGAATTATACGAGCGTCGTTTCTGTTTTCCGTATCCTGTGCTTCGTGAAAACACCTGCACACAATCACGAGCTGCTGAGGTGAACAGGTTCAACACCATGGATAATTTACTTGTCTGTCACAACACAAACAAATCCACGCTTCTCTCCAGCTAATTCAGTGCTCACAGTTTACTTGGCCTACATATATTTGGCCTGTGGGGCATAAACAAACATTTAAAGGTGAAAATTACATTTTGGCGGCTCTCTCTTTGTTTTTCCTGTGCTAAACAAATTTTGACTGTTTTCTTTGTTTAGGCATGTTGTGTAAGAGGCAATTAGGCAAAGAAAATGAGGGCTTTTATGGAGCAATTTGTGTTATTTTTGAAGGTCTACAGATGGCAGTGCAGCACAGTTAAAATAGGCAGAGGGACGTTTCAGCTCATGTACACCAGCTGGTCCCAGTTTGAAGGATTTCAGTTGAAGTCAACACATTTTTACTAGAAACAAAAAAAAAAGCTTCATTTAGCATTTTAACTTAAATTAAAAAGCAAAGAAAAAAAATATCTTCCTAGAATTATAACTATGATCTCTTATAATCCTGCTGTCATGAGTTGCATTAGCAAATATTAGTCTGATTCCTGCTTTTGATGTCTAATAATGACAGCAATAAACATAATAATAGTAATAATGAAAACAATAAATTACACAACACCTAAAACAGACTGAGTGTAGAAATGTGTGAAGAGGTTGACTGCTGCAGCAATACGGTGGTCAAAAGTAAACAACGCCAGGGCCGTAAATGGCAGGGTGTGTTGGTTCTGTCTGTATGTGTGTTTGTGGTGAGACACCGGATATGTGTTTCCTTATCTGTCTGTCTGACTCTGGGTTGCTACATACGTGTGGCCTCGTATCGGTGGGTTACCCAGGGCTTTCAGTGCGAGTGTATGTTGGTTTTACTGCAATGAAAAAACATTTCAAATAACTTTCACAATCGCCTTTGGTGATCTTCTCTGCTTCTAATTTAAAGCAACTAATTGCTGGTGTTTGGAAAGTCGCACCGCAGAAGCAGCGTTTCCTCTGGGTTCTGTTTTCACATTTTATTCGGCTGTTACTGAAAATAAACTCACTTCCGATTTTAAGGGCTGATGAAAACAAGTGTTGAAATTTATGAAGGTTTTTTTTTTTTTTTAGATATTTAGTTTGAAATAATTAACAGGGACATTCAATTCAATAAATCTGATTTTTGGAGTGAAATTACACAGAATATTTCAAGGTCAGAAAAAAGATCGTAAAATATGGAACTGAGAGGCAACAGCAAAAAAAAACAAAAAAAACAGACAGACTTAGAGAACACAATGTTTCAGAAATCTATTACAATTGTTTCCGATCATTGTGGTAGTAAATTACAACGACCACTGAAACAAAACTATTTACTCTTCTCCAGTAGTTTCAGATTTTGTCATGTATCAAACTGAAACTGCAGTGAAATGTATTTAGATTTCCTGTAGCACACTAAAACAGCGTTCTAGTTCATAATTATAGCTCGAAGGAAAATGATACATGGTTTTCTGGATTTTTCAACAAAAACATCTAAGCAGATTAATATGTAATTATGTTCAGCTCTCTTTATTTACTCCTAAATTAAATTATGTTGACTTAATTAGTCACATGAATTAGTTTTCATCAGTGGTGCTGGTTTTCATCATGGCCAGGCTAAAGTCAGGACATGGATCCAATTGAGAATCTGTAGCTAGACTTGGGATTGATGTTAAGAGATGCGCTCCATCCGGTGTTAGCTGCAGCTATTCTGGAAAAAGTACAGGGCAAATGTTTTAATTATAAGAAAAAACTACCAAACGTATTAATTGTTGTGAAAGTTAGTAACAGAAAGCTGAACACATACATTTCAAGGCCATGCCATTTTCTTTCCACTTCCCTTCTTCATTGTTTTCGTCTGTCACATAAAATCCCAATCAAATACACTGAAGTTTGTAGTTGTTACATAACATGGGAAAAAGTTCAAGAATTTCATGCTGGATGTCAACTATTGGGCCAAACAGTGACTCACAGTGACACCGTCTTACCCTTTTAGTATTTGGAGTTAATTGTAATTTTTTTCTTGGCTTGTGTTTATTCTGCCGCTTTTTGAGAAATTGGTATCCTGGTTCTCAAAAGAGTAGGATTGAGCGAGCTCTGAGGTTTTCCGACCTCGTACCAAAACTTTCAGCGATAGAATGCGTCTATTAGTTTAGAACCACGCGTACACAAGCCAAATCCAAGCTTTTTTTCTTTTTAAATTAGGATTAGAGAATCTGTTCTAAACAAGGAACAAATGAAAAAGATACTTTAAAAAGAAAACATGTTTGTGGTCATTGTTTGTTATGTTGGAAAACAGATCATCGCCTAATTGTCTGTTTGTTAGAAGACGCTTCTCCTGAGTGATGTTTCTAGCCCTCTCTTCATTCCTGAGCAGAATAGCGAGTGAGCTCTGTTGGATGAAAAGCAGACCTACACATGGATTGTATCAGGATGCTTTGCTGCTGGCATGACAGAAAAGTCATGGCATCCCTCACCTTTTGGGGGGAAATGATGTTCCAGATGTCTCAAATAATTAGAATGAGGATTCATCTCAGAAAACAACTTGGCAGGCAGTCATCTTCTGCTGTCCATTCCTGTGTTTCATGCAGGATTTCAGTCTGCCCTCCTTGCTTTATTGGGACACATGCAGCCTTTTTTCTTGCAAGATTCTTTTCTTATGTTTTTTTCCACAGGCAAAACTGTCACCAATGATTGCAAATATTTTCAAGCTAGTGGATAATTATATACGTTTATTGAGATGCATCAAATCCAGAAGCTGTATTGAAATGTGTTTCTTCTCTGGTCATAAGCTAAAAAACCCCCAAAAAGGAACAACATTTTAACATTCAGTATTGTCATCAGCGTCCTGCCAACAGAGAAGAAAATCACCATGCCTTCCAGTCTCTAGATTTGACTTTGTCTCCACCGATCTCATTTCATCTGTTTCAACTGTGCAGCAATACTGGGCCACGGCATTCAGAAACTAGTAGATTTACAAGTTTGCCTTTATAAAATACAAAATGGTTCAATCTCAAAACACAATATGTCAAAAAAACATGGAGGATTTTTTCTTTTTTTAAGGAGGCTAGAAACTTGAACTTCCCTCCAGCTTCTATTAGAGGCAAACGGCTGTTTTCATTAGTCAGCACTATGCCATGGCAATCCTATGCAAGCAGATTTTATAACATTAGGAGAGATCGCCCTGAATGACTTGCATCAATGGCACTTTCTTGTCTCTTTGGCTTTCTGAAAAGAAAAAATAGAGTTTTACTTACTCAAAACTTTTTAAAGGCACCTTCATATCTATCTACTTATATCTAGATAAGATAAGATAAAAAGTAACAATAATGTGAGTGGTCCATGGCTTATTATGCAACAAAACTAGATGTCATTCAACGGGGGTACAGCTGAACTATTTTTTAGCTGCAAGATTGTCAAATAAAAATGTAGGGAGCTGAAAAGGGTCCTACAAAACACTTCAGTTTTTCCATAACCCAATCAAATCTCCACCAAGTTCTAACCAAAGACCAAGAGACAGAAAAAAGGTACAAAATAAATATCTGTCTCATCTCAGATAAAGTGCAAGATTAAGATCCTGGGCACAGTGAGTTTTTGTCTCAGACATTGTACAAATTATGAACCACAATGAATAAGTTAGTACATGTTTCTAAAGTAAATGTCAAGAGGCAAATTATACATGTCTCAGTCTTTAGTTGAGCTTATTCATAGATCCAACATTACACTTTTTCTGCCTCTAAGAAAGAGGGATAAAGGCTGTAGCCAAATTCAGCAAAAGCAATAATTTGAAAAAATAATTAGAATGAACCAGGATACTTACTTTGAACAAAAATTGATTCAAGTACACTGTAAACATCTATTATACTAAACAATG